CGAAGGCGCACACCTCCCAGATGATGACGTCGATGGCCGCCGCGCCACTGAGCGGGCACGTCGATGGCCGCGCGAGACTCCATGGCGGCGGTGGCGGCGGCCGCGCGAGACTCCATGGAGGCGGCGCGCGAGATCTCGTCGGTGGCCGCGCGCGAGCTCCCGTCGGCGGCCGCGTGTGCGAGGCAGCCATGCGAGGGTCCGCGACGGCGAGGCGCCAGATCCGCCAGTGGCCGCGCGAGGCTTCGTGACGGCCACTGGCCGCGCGAGCTCCCACTGGCCGCGCGAGGTCCGTGACGGCGGCGACCGCAGGAGCGGTGCTTCACCGGCGGCACAGGATCCGCAGTCGTAGATGGAAACCGAGCGCTCCTCCCCCAAAGCTGTAATGGATGGTTTCGACGGCCTCGTTGCGCGTGAAGAAGTCGAGTCTACGATAGACTCAGTTTCTTTTGTTTTTCTTCTCTTTGTTCCATAAATAAATACATTGCCATATCAACAAAAATCTATAAATAGAAGGGTAATAAATAGCCATAGAAATTATGATAAAATCTACATTGAAAGTGCCCTAATGGCCAATGCAGCGTCTAGGACCAGGATGAAGTCGTCGTGGCGAGCGTCGCCTCGTTCCGTCGTCGGCTGTCGCGGTGCCGCATGCGCTGAATCGCGTGGAAGTGGATGGATAGTAGTCGCGGTGGTACCCTACCGTGGACTACTCACGACGTATGTGATGTCTACGTTACCACCCTCAATTTTCACGAAAGTCTGTTTTTTCTCTCTAAACTTCAAAACCGGGCAAAACACCTCTCTCAACTTTTAAAACCGTTCATCTTACCTCCCTGACCCGGTTATAAGCGGTTTTAAGGCGGTTTTGCCTTTTTATTTTTTATTTATTTCGGCTGAATCTTTAAAAAATCATAGTAAATCACAGAAAAATCATAAAATAGAAATTTCAATTTTGTTGGACTCCACATGAGTAGATCTACACAGTGAACATATAATATGGTATGCTTTAGTACAAAGTTTTTGTTGTGGCTTTAGATCTATGCTTTTCTGTAATTAAATGGAATAATTCATAGCTGCAGTTTCTATGGTCCAATTGTGGTGAAATTTTTATGGTGGACTAATTATTATATGCTTAAAATGTTGTAGTAAAAATTTCATACTCATTGGATCATGTATAACTTAGTTATATATTTTATTTAGGTTTATGCTTGTTAAATATAAATAAATCTACAACTAAGCTATACATGATCAAATGAGTATCAAATTTTTACTATAGTTCAATCATACAATAATTAGGCCACCATAAAAATTTCATCACAATTGCACCATAGAAACTACATCTATGACTTATTTTAATTAATTATAGAAAAGCATAGATCTAAAGCCACAACAAAAACTTTGTACTAAATCATACCACATTATATGTTCACTGTGTAGATCTACTCATGGAGTCCAACAAAATTAGATTTTCCATTTTATGATTTTTCTGTGATTTACTATGATTTTTCAAAGATTCAACCGAAATAAATAAAAAGGAAAAAGACAAAACCTACTTTAAAACTGCTTATAACAGGGCCAGGGAGATAAGATGAATGGTTTTAAAAGTTGAGGTAGGTATTTTATCCGATTTTAGAGCTCAGAGAGGAAAAACGGGCTTTCATGAAAATCGAGGGAGGTAACGGTGACCGGGTGATTTCTATTTCTATGGGCCACGGGCAAGAAACTGGAAAAGCAACCGGCCGGCACTCTACTGGGTTCTAAATTTTGGGGGGCCCAGCCAGTGCTGCTGCGCCATGCAGGCCCGGGCCTCTTGACGAGCCTGCTTGGCTGAGCAATCTCGTTGATTGTTCTTGAGGTTTGGACAGAAGAACTCAATGGCGATGTTGTGGGTGGCTGAGAATTGAGATGATTGCTGCTGTCATAGGCCGAAGACTGACTCAGCGGTGTCAGCGTCGTGATGAGCGATTGACAACTACGGTACAGAGGTAAGAGCAGTCTTGTATGTAATTGGAGTGTCTTAATCGCTTTCAGTGCAAGCTTGTGCACCGAGTGGACTTGTGGGATCGTTCACTTTTCTCACTTGGGCTTTTATCATCATCATATTCATGTCACAACTCACAACTGAACGATTTGCTGCTGGAGGGGTCCATAGACGAGGAAGCGAGGGAACGATGTACCCGTACAACATTGTGTGCCATACAAGAGTTATAAATGTTTGGTCACCTATGTTCTATGACGATTTGCGTCGAATTCGTCATGCTAGACTTGTACTACGCTCTACGCATGATAACGAGATACTATGAACTAACTCTCAGTCATAGCAGAGCGTGTCAGCTCAAATGTCCAGGACTCGAGGCATACAAGGGCTCAGAGCAAGAGCTAGAGAAGGGGAAAAAATAGCAAAAAGGTTGGAGACGCGGGGAATCGAACCCCGTGCCTCTCGCATGCGAAGCGAGCGCTCTACCATATGAGCTACGTCCCCTTGATGCTACTTAGTGGTAAATTTATGATTTGAAGACAACTCTAGGCAGTTGCATGATACGAAGCCTTGCATAAGCAGGAACAGCCTGATCCCGAGAACGGCCCATACCTCGCCGGCTTGCCCACTAGTATATAGAGGAAATACTAACGACGAAAAATAAAGCAACGGCCTCATCACAAAGTGAACCAGTCATTCAAACCACTGACGCACTGATGTGCCGTTGGACGCACACCTCGGCATGAAGACACGGCCGTGGCCTCAACGTTCAACCCAGAATCGCCATCGCCCATCGATCGATCCCGTCCAAAACTCCAGTACGCGCACCTACAGTCGAGTACACCGAGACGAGACGCGAGAGAGACGTCGTTGGTCCCGGGCCGGGACAAAAAGTGTTCCGCGCAAGAGACGCCAGAATTCCGCTCCACCGGACCGGGCACCAACCAGCAACCTCCCCTGCGGATGCGGGACCAGGGCGAGCTGAGGGCCAAGCTCTCACATGAAATGTTCCGGTCCCGTTCCAATCCATGGACCATGCACGGCAGCCAATCCTGTAGCGCAGAGGAACGGGGCGGGGCGGATACACAGTACAGGTGGTGCTGCGGTGAGGCCACATGCTCTTGACATGCACAAGTGCGAGCGCGAGAGAGCGAGCGAGCGAGCGACCAGCAGATTCATGTCCCGGATGGTGGTGGGGTGGGGGGAGTCACCGGACTGGACAGGATCAGGCCACCACCTCACGAGGCTGCCGGGCGCTGAGGGCTTTTGAGCTCGGCAATGGTCCCGGCGTTTTGAGTTTTGAGTTTTTGACCTACTCGATAGATTGTTGGTGCTTGCCGATCTGATCCATTGGATGGCATGGCACTTTTTGTAAAGATCAGGTGTCACCCGTGTCGATTTGACCCGGTGAGTAGGATCAGGGCATTGGCTTGGCTGGACAAGCGAATAATGACGAGAAAGAGACTGTAAGGATTGGCTGCTGGCCATATGCGGACTCTTGGATAAGTAGCCGCGTCATAAAGTCCACGCAGAGGTACCCAGTTGCAAGTTTCTGGTGGCAGACTAGCAGAGCGAATAATGACGAGAAAGAGAGGAAGGAAGTTTTGGATCGATGGCAGAGAACGACAAGAAAACACAGCTGCGTCAACAGGCTTGGTTTCATAGGGTTCATTTGGGGCGTGTTTTTCCCTGAATTTGGGAATTTGGGCTACTGCAGCACGTTCGTTTTTATTTGGCAAATAGTGTTCAATCATGGACTAATTAGGCTCAAAACGTTCGTCTCGCAATTTCCAACCAAACTGTGCAATTAGTTTTTTTTTCGTCTACATTTAATGTTCCATGCACGTATCGCAAGATTCGATGTGATGGGTACTGTAGCACTTTTTTAGATTTTGGGTAGCAACTAAACACGCGCTTGGTAGAGATCCAAATTTTCGTAGAAATATTTCGGATCTAGATTCTTCGAAGAAAAGCGTTTCACGCAAAAGCGTAATCACTTGTTGGAACCGTTTGGCGGACTCAACTGATTTAGATTCCATGTGTTATGTATCCGTCTGCGCGAGAACACCCACCTACGCTGAAGTGCGAAACGGTTCCAATCTGATTCTCAACGCTACATCCCGTTTGGAACCGATCCTCCTAAGAAACCAAACCATTTCTCTCATCAAACGGGGCCTTAATTCGGACTTGGAAGTCACCTAGAGAAACGCAATCCCATGATACAACTGAATGAAGAATAAAATACTGGCCATGTACTATCACTCTTTGTAGTTCGTTATTCAGGAAGTATATCAAGTCAAACTTGAGTTGATCAATGCAGGAAACACAGCGGTTGCAGTTGGAATGCAAGATTTTCAGGAGAGCAGAAGAAAGCAGAGCCACATGCTTTGCATTGCACACACACACTACTAGTAGCAGTAGTACTTGGGGGTAATTACAGAGGGGAGGAGGGTACTTAGAAAACAAAGCAGGCAGCCGTACGTGCATATCTCTCATGTCAAGAGTTCTTCCCCGGATCGAAGAACTGAAGGACACGCCTGTCGGCTAGGCCAAACTAGGATAGATCGGCGCCCACTTCTAACCCCCCACGAACTGATCATCATCGTCGTCACCATCCTACTACCAGGACTCTACTTATGCTACAGACACACACACACGTGCACCACATTCAGAAGAACACAAACATAATACTGTGTATATAGAAACACGACAGAGCCTCAGACTGAGAAAGACTAGCTATCTCGATTCCTCTGCACTGCATGCCCTCTGCTCGGTTGCTTATTGGCGCCGGAATGGATTTGTTCTAGCTCAGCGGTCCAACGAACTGATCACCACCCTGCAAAGCGAACCAGGGACAGAAGCTGTATCAGGACCACCCATTTATGAATCGTCAGGATTCAGGACCAGCCATCTGTGAATGGCCAGAACTCAGAACCAGCCATGTATGCTAACATGGATTTTTTTAGAGTTTTATGCTAACAATCTATGCTAACATGGATTGTGGTCTGTTATGATTCATGCATCAAGGTGGTGGTAAAATTTCAAGAAAAGAAACTGAGCGTGGGCCGAGAACGAACCAGTCGTACACGGTGGGGCTCCTTGGCCCGACGGCCGGTTCCGGCCCATCGGAGACCTTGGTTTTCCGGCGGAACCTCCTCCAGCCGTCCGCCTTGGGCGTGGTAGCTGCACCAAACACACCATCAACAACACAGAGGGTCAGGGCCAGGCATATGCTTTCATGCACAAGTTCTCATTGCTTTCTGATGAATGAACCCGTTGTTATCACGCACCAAACACACCAACAAATGTCTAATCTGGGTGCTCCTAGACCTGACAATTAATTAATCACACTGTACTCCCCCCCACTGATGAATTCCCACGAATCATCATCTGTTATCACGAAGGTATTACGCATGGACTTCAATCTTGCGGAGTTGCGGTGTTTACCAACTACTCCTGCTAGCGGCAGATCTGTGACAGCGTCGCACTCGAGAAGGCGTAGAAAAACATCAATAAAACGTAAAAAATAATTACTTTTTTTTCGTTCCTTTTACTGTCCCATTTCATCGGAGATCCAATCCTGCGCAGCAGCAGTGCGCAGACCTACCTAAAAAAAAGGAACGATTTTTACCCCAAGAATGGGGCGACGACCAAGAAGAAACACAGGCGGGCGAGCCCACCTGTGGCGAACGGCGAGTCGGGCGTGCTTGCCGGGGAGGACGGGACGGAGGAGCTGTAGGACTCGGCGCGCGGCGAGGCGTCGACGGACAGCGACGGCGGGCGGGCGATGGTGATGCTGCGCGTCACAGCCGGCGGCGCCGGCGCCGGCGCTGACGCGTCGAAGGCCGCTGCGGGAGCGGGTGCCGGGAAGGACGGCGACGAGGAGGAGGAGGGGAGAAGGAGGAGTACTTGCGGAGCCTGCCGAGGCCGGAGTCCGGCCGCGGGCCGGCCACCGTCTCGTCCCAGAGCTGGTCGAGGAGGCCCATTGCCCGCACGCACCAGACCAGACGGTCTATGCGATTGGTTGGCTGGCCCTGCGGCTTGCGCGTGTTTGACGTATGCGCGCGTTGTCTTGTCGCGACGCGAGGGAGGGAGGAGGGGCTTGGGTTGGCTGCCTGAAGCAGTTGAGCCTTGGGGCGGGCGGGCGGGCGGATGACGATCCCTCTGTTCTCTCGGGAACGGTGGGCTGGGGAGGATTTTTATAGAGAAGAAGAAGGTGGGGGTGGGCGCGAGAGGATTCAGGCGAGATATTGGGGTGTGGGTGTAAATTTGGATAAGGGAATAACTGGTACCGAGCTCATCTTCTTTTCACCTCTCTCCTCATTCTTCGCAGATCGACTCCATTCAGAGATCGTTTGCAGCGTGTCACTTGTTACAAGAGGATCCAAAATAGCATTGCACTCTACATGGGGAATGGGATGATGTTATTTTCCCATGGTTCATTCAAATAAGTTATTATAAAAATAGATTCAATGATCTATCTAATGATATTAATTATCATATAAATATTAGTATTTTCGTGTATATATTTAGTCAGTTAGGTATATTTGATTTCTCAAAAAGGAAGAATGACAGTTAAAAAAGGACGGATGGAGTATGCTTGATTGTCTTCACAAACACAGCTGCAGCAATGGATATACATGTGTACTGTTAAACCATGTTCTCGATGCCATGGACACCTCATGAATCGCATGGCTAATTGATTCTCCAAAGTTAAGATTTTACATTGAACTATGGTCCGTTTCGCATAGGTCCACCTTTGAGATCTACGCTAGATCTATAATCTACGGTGTGACTAAATTAAAGTAGTTTAAACATTTATATTTTTTTATTTAAACTATGATTAAAGTGAGTGGTGTATAGGCACTCAACGAGCCTCTACTTCTAGATTCAAGAATTTTTTCGGAGCTACAAATATTTACCTTCAAGAAATCTATAGATTACCTAGAGTCGTAGCTCTCTGGGCGAGTTCTTATTTCACGGATGACACGATATGATCTCTATAAACTAAACACAGTTAGAAACAGTGATAGTAAACTTTGATGTAGATATTTTTTCCCTAGAATACACAGAAGCGTTAGTTATGTGGTTATGCCGACCATACACAATGAATGAACAAACGACTAGGAAGTGCTAAAAGCCCATGGGTGGTACGGATCACGCACGTCAAACCAGGTCTACTATGAGAATGGATCCTCCTTTTACCATCTCGGATCGGACGGCTTCTTTGAGCAGCCGGTGCCGTGTATGCCATCGTCATTCGTCAGCCGAGCCGTGGCTCGCGCCGAGCGAGGCTTCCCGTGAACTTGGACCCGGGGCCGGAGCCGAGCGGGTGCGCGCGGCAAAATCGGAACGAGTTTTGACTTTTGACCGCAATCCATATCCGGGTGGCCCACCCCGTACTACAGGATAAGATCCGTAGCTCTCAGGGCCATTGTAACACGCCACCCGTAGTGGGCCCGGGCTTCCATCACGAAATCACCAGTTTACTGATCACCGGTCACCACACAGACCTCGACGACCCCAGCTTTGCTTTTGCCTTCACAGGAGATAAAGAAGAGAAACCAAAAACATGGAGCATCACCATCGAATACAAAGGAAACCTCTCTACGCGATGAAGTCATGAAAACCTCTGGGAAAAAAGAAGAAACAAATACGTACTCGATGCATGTATTAATCTATCTGATGATGTGTATTTTAAAACGCAGGAGATGCGTTCCGAACTGTCTACGGCTTAATTAAGCTTGATGTTGCCAAAACGATTTTGGTTGAACACAGGCATGCAAAGATGATGACCGTACCTATAATGGGCCGAGCAGAAGCACGCTATGCTCGAGCTCGAGCAGCTTTGTTTTCCAGCTGATTGATGAAGTGGGACCGAGGCAAAAGATGCTCGGATCAAATCTCAGCCGAGCATGCATGTGGACGACGGGCCCTAATGCTTGCTTTGCTTTCGCTTCCAAAGAGTTGATTAGTTACAAATGGTGTCGTCTTGGACGACCAATTAGTGCGTCCGATCCATCAAAGCAACGTCGGAACCAAATCAGAGGTCAGGATGGACGAATTAGGAAACACCTGCTTACTATAATTAAATAATTAAGCCCATAAGAAGATGCAGCTGCCGAATTGACCTTCTCTGGTGTCTTGGTGAATGGGTGATGGCGTGGATGCATTATAAGTGGATAAACTAAACATCATGTATACTAGAGAAAGCAGAGGGTTAAAACCAGCAACAGGGACACAACATTCTGCCAAACTACTAGTAAGTAGATGCACAAAATATCTAGTTAACGGTTATATATATGGATTAACTAGGTTGATGCCTTGATGAGCCTTGACTTTGGTCGCTGCTCGCGGCACCGTACCGAATGCCGTCCTATCGTATTGTCGTTCTCGCTACTTTCAAATTATCTTAACTTCAACGGCAAAACCACTTATTACCTTGTCCGTGGGGCTTCAGACAGTGATGTGAAGCTTCGAATGTACACGTTAGTTTTGAATTATCTAGATACATAGTTTTTGCTATGTATTTAAAAAAGGTAGAACGACTCACAGTTTAGAATAGAGGGAGTATACGGTGAGAAATCACCATGGTCACCTCATATTGAAGTCTTGTGGTTATCGTCTGATTGAAATGGCTGAAGCTAACAGACCCGTTGCGACAAAAAAATACACACCTATTCCACCGCGACGCCTCGACGCCAGTTCTAGAACCTCCAATTACGAGCCTGCTATAATTAACCACCACCGATTACTCATTAGAAAACGTTGCCCCTTACCTCCATCTAGAAGACACATAGTTTAGGTTTGGTATGAGTTAAGCTATCTTAGATTTAATAAGGTTAGAGAAAATAATCTAGTGAAAATACCTTGTTCATATAAATTCAATAAAATTTAAAATATGTTTTGATTGAAGTCTACCATAAAATTAAATTGCATAATACCAGTACAACACCGTTACTCTATTGCGTTGCGTTGCGTCCCATCAAGATGTGATGCACAACAGCCTCATATGTAAGCATGCATGGCTCACCACACAAGTGGCAATATATATAATTATTCAGGGTCATATAGAAACAGTTACTAGCAATTAGCATAGGCCGTATATTTTATTAGTCCACAATGATAGATCAAGGGCTCTGTGGCGGCGATCATAATCACTCGTGGGGCCTACCTCCCTAACTTTCAATTATTGGGGCTGCTGAGCTGAAGAACTTGGCGGTCACAGCACAGCAGTAGCCACCAGCATGTACACATACCACCACAGCGGTCAGTGGCGGGGCAGGATGGAAACAAATGGGGCTAAATAATGAAGATTTAGATATAGAACTAGAGATTAATGATGATTTTAGGCTAAATAACCATGACAGCACAGCACAGTAGCAGCCACCAGCATGTACTCATACCACCACAGCGGCCAGTGGCGGATGCAAGATGGAAACAAATGGGGCTAAATAATAAAGATTTAGGGTTAGTGCTAGAGATTAATGATGATTTAAGACTAAATAACCATGATCTAATTAAAAAATCAGACTCACTAAGCCCCCTTTGATCCGCCCCTGACAGCAGCGTCAGCGGCCAGGGCAGTGGCGTGTCCACGTCCGGACGATCAGCTTATACACACAGCAACCGCTCAACCTCTCGGTCTGGGCCGTCTCCCTTTGTGTGGTCTGATAAGTGGTTGGCTCGAGAGCAGGTCCAATGCAAATCACTGGCTGGAAATGGAAGACCCAGCAAAGCGACGGCCGACGGCTCGCCTGATTAATTGGCCGCGGGTTTTGCATGGACGCCGGGAAGTCGGCAACCGATCCGGTGGTGGCGATACGATTCTCATCGAGCGATTTTTATTAGCGCGCTCAGGTATCAAACAAATCATACATTCATACTGCAGCTTGCATCGACGACGACGACGACGAATGTGTATATATAATTATAATAAAGTGTAGTAGTTTAATTTAAATTAAATGTCCCGTCTTGTTCGTCATGGGTTTGTTGTGATTATTATTGATGGTGTCGATCGATCTCAGATGATTCGGCGTGCATGCGGTGATGATAGCTCGAAAGAATCATCAGATGATTCTGGGGAACGTGTGCATGATCGTGCCAGCCGGGATGCATGGCATCAACTGGTCTATAATTTTTATTTCCTTTCTGTTTAATGTATTTGTTTCGGCAGTAGGGGGATTATTCATACGGCCGGCAGTTTGAGCAAGCAGCTAAGTGTACTAAGTCCGTAGGCATCCTTGCGGCAGATTTTTTTTTTTTTTTTTTTTTGCAATTTAACCTTTTTGTCAAAAATTCACGTTTACACATCTAGATGACGTAAACCTAACTTTGGACCCTTTTCTAAGGTGCCATGACAAACAGCGCCGAGGTAACACGTCTGACGCTGAGGTTGGAGGCTAGGAATTACGTGGCCAGAGCCCGGTGTCGTGATTCACGGCGCTATGATCTACGACGTGCTTGGCATCGAGCTCTAATTTTGACCTCAACCACGTATTATCATGAGTTGAAGTCATGTTAATTTAGAGATTAACATGAGATGGATATATGGAAAAATGGAAAAAAATTCTATGTGTCCATCTCATGGTAAAATTAGGGTTGAAATCATGTTAATTTAGAGATTAAGGTTAAAATGAGAGCTCGGTGCCATGATTCATGGCGCAGAGCTCAACGAAGTGATTCACGGCGTCGAGCTCTGGTCATGTAATTCCTAGCCTCCAAATGGCGCTGAGGTGTGTTACCTCGACGCCGTAGGTCATGGCGCTGATAAAAGGATCCAAAGTTGGGTTTATGTCGTCCAGGGGTGTAAACGTCAATTTTTGCAAAAAAAAAGAGCCAAATTTAAAAAAAAATCGGTCCTTTTTTTACCGACGCTATCTTCCACCCGTTGCTGTCGCCCGGCGAGGTGGCTGTGACTAGGCTGCTGGTTGCCGAGCGGCTGTTTCCGCCAGGCGTTTGTACATCCTGCACGTATCGTCGTACGGATACTGGCCTGGGCAAGCGGGCAGTAGCGCCAACGCATGGTGGGCCTCGTACACACCGTGGCAGCACAGGGACAGAGGAGACCTTGACATGACAGTAGAGAAGAGGAAAGCGGAATCTTTTCCGTGGCAACGACTACAGGAGATGGAAGTGACGTTCCGTTCTTTAGCACTGACATGGGCCCGTTGGTCACTGTCACTATACAACGACCTTTGGGCCGTCGATCGATCGAGAGCCTAGTGAGGCCCAATCTCTCGACGGTTGCGGCCCTCTCTAGCCCACCTCTACAATGGCCCACTGTACACAGTAACCACTGTCACTATGCAACTTTTCTTTCTATAGACCAGAACATTTAACATTACGTAAAATTGGCTCCTCGATACTGAAAGTTACCACGCTTTGGTACTGGACGTCCAAAATAGAGCGATTTGTTAGAAGACACTCTAGTCGTTGATAAATTTACTGGTGGACACTCCGCCCAATAAAACATTTATTTCTAGCTTTCAAGGAAAGAAAAAGACGGTAAAATGTCCTTTTTGCCCGTGCCCCCTTCTTCTGCCTTGCTCCCGTCTCTCCCACTCCAATCGGGCAGTGGGCCATTGGCCGATTCCGACGCCGCTATGTAGTTGGGCACCGCCCACGCGTGTCGCTGCGAGTGCTCCTGCCCCCGCTGCCAGCCCCACGAGGAGGCCCGCGCCAAGCTGTAGCGGGAGTCGAGAAAGAGCGCAGCGCCGCGGCATCGGTGGCCGAGTAGGCCATGTCCAAGATCACGTGCGTGCAGAAGGAGAAATCGGCGCTTGAGATCGAGGCACGACAGCAGCGCCGACGAGGACGAGGTCGAGCAGCTCTGGGACATCGTGCTCGTGCGGGACACCAGCATGCGCGGGGCCATGACGAGCGGAGGTCATCTCCGGCCGCAGGCTCAAAGCTGCACGGGCCATGGCGTGGATGCCGTCTCCGGCCGCGGGAGCGAGCAGGGAAAGCAAACCGTCCGTGCGGGCGCACGAGCCGTGGGCGTGGAGCCACGGCGAGCGGAGGCCGTCTCCGGCCGCAGGCTCAGAGCTGCGCTAGGTCGCCGGCCATGGAGGTCAGTGAGCTGCGACCTCTGAGCGTGCGGAGGAGGGAGGCGAGGTTAGCATCAACGTACTACTCTGACTGCGCCACCACGCACAGCGCGCCCCTCCGCACACCCGCACAGGCGGTCCAGCGTCGACAGGACGAGCTCGCACGAGCGGCGCTCCGCCTTGTCGTCAAAGAGCATGTCGACGAGCACGGGCACCGCGCCGGCGTCCACCGCCTTGACGCAGTTGCGTCCCCACGCCGTCGTGTGCACAAGCATGTGCAGCGCCGCCTTGTCGCGGGCCTGGAGACGGCCAGCCTATCGCGGAGCAGCTCCACGGCCTCACTGAACACCTGCTACGGGAGGGACGCCAGCCTGCTGGTAGGCAGCGCGCCCGTGACGCGCTCCACCAGCAGCGCCACGACTTGGCGCTAGACCGCTGCAGCGCGGAGACCAGCGCCTCGTTCGTCTCCGCGACGCGGCGCAGGCACTGCTCCGGGACTTGCAGCGAGGAGATGACCTCGACCGCCTCTTCGCGGACGGCGGCGGCTGTCCCTTCCGACTTGGCGTTGGCGGATGCCGCGAACACCGCGGCCAGGACATCGACTGCGCCGGGGACGTCGACGACGAGCTTCTGGTTGCGGTCGCTCTCGGCCGCCACGCCCCTGAGCTCGCGCCGCATGGTGGCTTCGGCGGCGGCGGCGCGGTCGGCGCTTGGGCGTGTGGACGCGGTTGACGCCATCGGCGGCATGGAGCGCGCACCAGGACTGGATGAGGTGGTGCAGCGGGAGGCTCGCTCGGGCCAAACCTGCTCACGACGCCGCATTAAAAAAAAGGGAGAGAGGAGAAGAATGACATTTCCGCATCTTCCTCTCTCCTCAACAGGTGGAAATGAATAAAATATAAGGTAGGGTGTTTAGTAGCATAATTGTTAGTAATAAGAGTGTCTTTCAACAAATTGCTCCAATTTGGATGACCACCAGCAAACGACCTCCACTCTCAGTGTCCGCTGGCCAAATTTGCCTTAACAAGTAGCCGACATGCAAGTAAGTCATTCTTCCATAAAACATCCCTACATTACATCTCCTCGTCTCATACTACCATTTTACATGAGAAAATAATACGCACACAGAGTGAGCGAGCCATCACCGCAAGATGATTTTATTTCATTTTGTTTATGGAAACGGAGGTTGGCCCTCGTCGGCGTCGGCTGCTGAACTGTGCAGTGCACTGCAGTTGTGGCCTTTGTGGTTCCGTACTGGTTCTGCCCTCAAAGCCCAGCCCAAGGTCCGGCGTGTTTGGTACAGACAGCAAAAAGATTCGCTCAAGGTGATCCTTGGCCGACTCATTAATTAATGTATGATGAGCAGGAACAGAGCAACCGGCCAACTCGGCGAGGATTACAGCCAAATGCACCGCTGATTAGATGCGGTATACTTATACATCTCTGAACAACGCTAGAGCAGTTCACAGAGTATATGTCATGTACGGGCGCACATACACCAGACGGCGCCGTGCCAGGGACATCCGGCGCGCGGCGGAACGCGCCCAGAGCGCGCCAACCGGCCAGGAGGTTTCACCGAGTGGCTAGTTTAGGAATAGGTTGTTGGCATGCCTAGAAATAAGGAAGGATTAGGGAGAGATTAGTTGCTATATTTACTCTCCATCAAGGATTATATATCCTGTGTAATCAGCACTTGAGGAGTTAAGCAAGATCAATTACCCAAACCTCTCTCTCCCCTCACGAGTTCTCAAGCCCGGCAGCCGTGAGGGGCATAACCTCCACTACTGGAAGACACGGCAGGAGACTTTGAGCTACGTAGTCGAGGGCCGCCTACCCTAGATCACAGTGCCCTTGACAACCTGGTATCACAGACCAGACGATCCTCGCCCACCTCGTCCACTTCTTCCTCCGACGCCGCCGCCACCCACCACCAGCCGCCGTTCCCCCAGTACACCTCGCCACCACCTCCAACCATGACCGAGCCAACTCTGGCCGACGTGATGAAGATGTTGCAAGCCATGACCACGGACATGTCCTCAATGAAGGCCGAGATGGCGGCCATGAAGGAAAAGTCGGCGTCGTCGTCGGACAGCAGCGTCGGCGGCCGTACGGAGGACACACGCGATCTGGATCGCCCGCCCAAGCCCAAGAAGTGGGACTTTCCCCGCTTTGACGGCACGACCGATCCGCTGCTCTTCCTCAACAAGTGCGACTCGTACTTTCGACAGCACCGTACCATGGCGGAGGAGCGCGTCCGGATGGCCGCGTACCATTTGGACGACATCGCGCAACTCTGGTACGACCAACTCCTGGAAGACGAGGGCGCGCCGACATGGGCCAATTTCAAGGATCGCCTGAATCTGAGGTTCGGACAGACCCTGCGCTCCGCCCCATTGTTCGAGCTCGCTGAGTGCCGGCGCACCGGAACCGTGGAGGAGTACGCCAATCGTTTCCAGACTCTCCTGCCTCGAGCGGGTCGTCTGGACGAAGCTCAACGCGTCCAACTCTTCACGGGCGGACTCCTGCCGCCTCTCAGTCACGCGGTGCGAATCCACAACCCGGACTCCCTCGCCGCCGCGATGAGCCTGGCGCGCCAGGTGGAGTTGATGGAGGCCGACCGCCCAGCGCCACCGGGCCCACGAGCGACGCCGCGAGGCCTATTGCCCGCTCCCGCGCCACGGCCGGCGCTTCCGGCGCCCCACCAGCTGCTGGCCCTACCCGCTCCCTCGGCAGCCGCCCAGCAGGGTCGCGGCGAGGGTCAACAGAAACGTCTCACACCCGACGAGATGGCGGAACGACGTCGCCAAGGCCTCTGCTTCAACTGCAACGAACGGTATACACGAGGCCATAACCGTTTTTGCAGGAGGCTGTTCTTCCTTGACGGCGTGGAAATCGACGATAGCCCGAACAATGGCGCCGCGGCCGCAGCTGATCCAGGGGACACGGCGGCCCCCGTCTTCTTCCTCCACGCGGTGGCGGGCGTTCCAGTCGGCAACCCGATCTTGCTTCGGGCCACTGTGGGCGCCGTCACCCTCGTCGCCTTGGTCGACACGGGCTCCACGCATAACTTCATCGGGGAGGAGGCCGCGCGGCGCACGGGGATTGCCATTCAACCACGCCCGCGCCTCACCGCCACCGTGGCCAATGGGGAGAAGGTGGCCTGCCCCGGCGTCCTTCGGCAGGCGCCCGTCGTCATTGAGGGCATGGCGTTCGACGTCGACCTCTACGTCATGCCGCTCGCCGGCTACGACGTGGTGCTCGGTACCCAGTGGATGGCCGGCCTGGGGCGCATCGCCTGGGATGTCGCCACTCGTACCTTGGCGTTCCAACGCGATGGGCAGGATATCTGCTGGTTCGGCGCGCCCGCCGCCGAGGCGCCCACTACACATGCCGTGTCGGTGGGCGACTCGCTCCTGGACGGCTTACTGGACTCGTTCGCTGACCTCTTCACCGAGCCCCAGGGTCTTCCACCGCCGCGCAGCCACGACCACCACATCCTGCTCCACCCTGGCTCGCCGCCCGTCGCCGTGCGGCCGTACCGGTACCCGGCTGCACACAAGGACGAACTAGAGCGGCAGTGCGCCGCCATGTTGGCACAGGGCCTCATCCGCAGGAGCTCCTCGGCCTTTTCCTCGCCGGTCCTCCTCGTCAAGAAGGCCGACGGATCCTGGCGCTTCTGCGTCGACTACCGCGCCCTCAACGCCATCACGGTCAAGGACGCTTTCCCCATTCCGGTCGTCGACGAGCTACTCGATGAACTTCACGGCGCTAAATTCTTCTCCAAGCTCGATCTCCGATCGGGGTACCACCAGGTGCGCATGGCACCCCAGGACATCGCCAAGACGGCCTTTCGCACTCACGACGGCTTGTACGAATTTCTCGTCATGCCGTTTGGCCTGTGCAACGCTCCGGCCACGTTCCAAGCATTGATGAACGACGTCCTCCGCGACTTCCTCCGCCGGTTTGTCCTCGTGTTTTTTGATGACATCTTGATCTACAGTGAGTCATGGGCAGACCACCTGCATCACCTCCGGGCGGTTCTCTCCATCCTGCGCCAGCATCGCCTCGTCGTCAAGCGCTCCAAGTGCGCGTTCGGCGTCACCTCGATCGCGTACTTGGGGCACATCATCTCCGCTGCCGGGGTGGCCATGGACCCAGCCAAAGATCCGGTAATCCACGACCGGCACGCCTGCCTTCGCGCTGCGCGTCCGTGGGTTCTGAGCCTCATGAGCTACTACCGCAAGTTCGTCCACGGATACGGGGAGATCGCCGCCCCCCTCACGGCGCTGCTCAAGAAGGAGGGATTCGCGTGGTCTCCAGAGGCCGCCACGGCGTTTTCTGCGCTCAAGGTCGCGGTGACCTCGGCGCCGGTCCTGGCGCTTCCGGACTTCGGCAGACCCTTCGTCGTGGAGTGCGACGCGTCGACCCACGGCTTCGGCGCGGTGTTGATTCAAGACAAGCACCCCATCGCCTACTTCAGTCGACCGGTCGCACCTCGCCATCGCTCTCTGGCAGCATACGAGCGGGAGCTCATAGGGTTGGTTCACGCCGTCCGACACTGGCGACCATACCTCTGGGGCCGCCGGTTCACGGTGAAGAGCGGCCACTTCAGTCTTAAATACCTGCTCGACCAGCGGCTTGCCACGATCCCTCAACATCACTGGGTTGGGAAGCTCCTGGGCTTCGACTTTGTCGTGGAGTACAAACCGGGCGCCCAGAACACCGTCGCGGACGCCCTCTCACGTCGGGACACTGACCGCGACGTCAAGGCCGGCGTGGTGCTTGCGGTGTCTGCACCCCGCTTCGACTTCCTCGACAGGCTACGGGAGTCGCAGGGGGCCGAACCGGCTCTGGTAGCTCTGCGCGACGAGGTCGCTGTAGGCACACGAGGGGCGCCGTGGGCCGTTCGGGATGGCCTTCTCACGTACGGCGGGCGCATCTACCTCAACTCGTCCTCGCCACTGTTGCAGGAGCTGTTGGCCGCCGTTCACAATGATGGCCACGAGGGCGTTCAGCGTACCCTTCACCGCCTTCGCCGCGACTTCCACTTCCCCGGCATGAGGACCGTTGTCCAGGACTTCGTCCGCGCCTGCGCCACCTGCCAGCGCTACAAGGTGGAGCATCTGCACCCGGCTGGCCTCCTCTGTCCATTGCCGGTGCCCACGGCGGTGTGGTCCGACATAGGCCTGGATTTCGTCGAGGCACTGCCCAAAGTTCGTGGCAAATCGGTCATTCTCACGGTGGTCGACCGCTTCAGCAAGTATTGCCACTTCATCCCGCTTGCTCACCCATATTCTGCAGAATCGGTGGCCCAGGCTTTCTTCGCCGAGATCGTGCGCCTCCATGGTCTACCGCAGTCCATGGTGTCGGACCGCGACCCCGTGTTCACTTCGACGTTCTGGAGGGAGCTGATGCGCCTCATGGGGGTCCAACTCCACATGACGACGGCGTTCCACCCCGGTCGATGGGCAGACCGAGTCGGCCAACCGGGTGATCACCATGTACTTGCGCTGCTTCACCGGTGACCGACCGCGCCAATGGCTCCGGTGGCTGCCCTGGGCGGAGTTCGTCTACAACACGGCCTACCAGTCGTCCCTGCGCGACACTCCCTTCCGCATCGTCTACGGCCGCAACCCTCCCTCCATCAGGTCCTATGAGGCGGGCGAGACCCGCGTCGCCGCGGTCGCCAAGTCCATGGCAGAACGCGAGGAGTTTCTGCAGGATGTGCGCTACCGCTTAGAGCAAGCGCAGAAGGTTCAGAAACGCCACTACGACAAGCTCCACCGAGCCATCTCCTACAAGCTGGGCGATTGGGTGCTCCTTCGTCTTCGCCACCAGCCGATTGCCTCGCTGGACACCGCCGCCTCCGGCAAGCTGAAGCCTCGCTACTTCGGGCCGTATCGGGTCTCGGAGATCATCAACGACGTCGCCGTCCGGCTTGAGCTACCTCCCCGCGCTCGCCTCCACGACGTCTTCCACGTCGGCCTTCTCAGGCGCTGGGTGGGTGACCCTCCTGTTGCTCCACCGCCCCGCCTGCCGTCCACAACGGCGCCGCGCTCCCTGATCCGGAACGCATCATCAAGGGCCGCCTGGCACGCGGGGTGCGTCAAGTCTTGGTGCGCTGGAAGGACCAGCCTGCTGCAGCTGCCTCATGGGAAGACTGGGACTCCTTTCGCGAGCGTTTTCCAGCGTTCCAGCTCGAGGACGAGCTGAATCTCGAGGAGGGGAGAGATGTCATGTACGGGCGCACATACACCAGACGACGCCGTGCCAGGGACATCCGGCGCCACAAGCGTAACGCGCCAGCAGAGCGCCAACCGCCGCCAGGAGGTTTCACCGAGTGGCTAGTTTAGGAATAGGTTGTTGGCATGCCTAGAAATAAGGAAGGATTAGGGAGAGATTAGTTGCTATATTTACTCTCCATCAAGGATTATATATCCTGTGTAATCAGCATTTGAGGAGTTAAGCAAGATCAATTACCCAAACCTCTCTCTCTCCCTCACGAGTTCTCAAGCCCGGCAGCCGTGAGGGGCATAACCTCCGCTACTGGAAGACACGGCAGGAGACTATGAGCTACGTAGTCGAGGGCCGCCTACCCTAGATCACAGTGCCCTTGACAGTATAGCAGTGACAAAACCTTACATCTCTGAAATTTGACATCAAACATGTAGCATATGTCACTCAATCCATGGTTCATCAAATTAAGTTACACACAAATAGTTCAAATACACAACCACGAAACTTCACCTAGAGGTGAGCTTGGTTCCTAAGAATAATAGTGAACAATCCAAGAAAATCTGATACAAGACTCCCAGAAAACTGAATGATACCATAGTCCATAGAGCAAAGCAAGTAAGGCCACTTCTTTTGAGATACAGTACCTTTTATTTGAACTCCCACACTTATATTCCCATCTGAAAGGTAAAAGTATAACGAATGGATCACATTCAATGAATCAAGCAGAGCACCATGCCACACTCAGCGTTTTATAGATGTTCCCCTAAATAAACAAACAAGCAAAAATAGCAGGACATTAGGCCACGAGAAATGTTTTATGTACGTACTAGATACGAAGACCCGTGCGCTTCTCTTATAATCCATATTTTTCAGCTTATTTTTTTAGCTGGAACAGTATTTTTCTCTCGCAACAAATCAGCCAGAACAATATTTTTGCTTATTTTTTCAGCGAAGCGAACGGGGCCGAAGAATATAAATGTACTCCGTATTTAGTACAGAAAGCAACAGAGTGATTTTGAAATAGGAAATTATGACCGATACCTCTTGCATAGGTAATGAAATGTCGTGATGATAACATTTTCCCATCGTCTAGCTCTCTTCCTCGTTGGTGTCATTCTCCTTCTCAAACCCTTCCTCATTGGTGTCACTGTCTTCCTCGACCTATTCCATTTCTCCATAGATAGTTAACCTCGGATGATTGGAGTGGGCATTTGCTTCATTCCATATGGCAGCTGCTGCGGCCCTGTTTTCTGAAGACGAGGCACCACCATCGTTACGAAGAATGATTGTAGCATGTTTCAGGCATGGGAGGTGGCCAATGCCTAAGTAGAACCCATTGGATTTTGCGCATAAAACTAAGAACGGCAGGTGAAGCTTCTCAAGCTTCGGCAGCGCCCCTTCCTCAAACAGCAGGTTTATCGCACAAGAATATCTACTGTAAATGTAGAGTTCCTTCAAACAGGGGAATCCATGGCCTCTGATGGTAAGTCTTTCTTCCTGGAAAGTTTTGAAAGTTAGCAGCAGAGAAATTAAGGCAGGTATCTCTCCAAGTACGCCCAGATCCTCCTCCGTTGCTTTTACTAAATTAATGTTTAGGTATGCCAGACTGGAGAGTGCTGGTGTGATCCATTTTGGAATCTTCGGTAAATAGTAGCTGGTGGTCATCCGAAATCTCTGGAGGGAAGATGGCAGAGGGGACCAAGAATCTAAAAACTGGAGGGGTGTTGAATCACTAGTACATATCCAAAAAGACTGGAGTTTGCAGCTGCCAAGCTTGCATAGTGAGAAGAGTAACATCTCTTCGTGCCTCTTATATTTCTCAGATCCTCTACCGTCTAGCTGTAGATGCAATTCATTCAAACTGGTTAGGTTCCCAAGCTCTGCCACCGCACCTAATGAACTCTTGGTAATATTGAAGCCTGTGATAACCCTCAGGTTACTCATGTTTCCAATCCCATCGGGTATCTTTGTATGGCCACGAAGAGAATGAAGAGAATGAAATCTTCCAACGAGTAGATATTGTAGTTTAGTGAGCTGAACAATTCTGGATGGTAACACTTCTATATATGTATTGGTAAGATCCAGCGTGTCCAGATCATAAAGCCTCACAATTCCTGAGGGGATCTCTGACATATTAGTTCCCCTAAGGCTCAAGTACTTCAGCTGGAATAGTTTATCTATACCATTCATATCATACTCTTCCAGACCCTGACAACCTTCAAAATCTAGTACACGCAAAGTTTGAAACTTAACAAGGCTAGGCAAGTGTTTGATGCAACTTGATGTTATTACTCTTAGGGATCGGACATGGCTTAGATCTTGATTTTCCAATACAGACACAAGCTCCTTATCAATGTGTTGGACTGATAGTCGACGAATAGAACCTTCGCGATTTACCAAATCAGTTTGCCCGTGGCCTACCACACTGATGAAATTATCTTCAATTGATTTTGAAATAATGAGCTCAAGCATCATGTCATGGACTTGACAGGCCCGAGCCTTACCATCATAGCCAACGTCCACTGGTTGGACCATGCTTTTATTGATTAGCTCATAGAAGTGGTTCTCGGCGACCTCTTGTTTGCTAAGTCCACGCTCTTCAGAGATAAATCCCTCTGCTATCCAGCGTCTCACCAATGTCTCTCTCACAATCACATAATCTTCAGGAAATATACTTAGATATAATAAACAGGTCTTCAGATTAGGTGGAAGATCGTTGTAGCTAAGGCATAGGATGCTATTCATGCCCTCCAAGCTTCTATTCTTGCCCAACGCAGAACCAATTGACCTTCTGACCTTCTCCCACTCGGTTTTGAGGGATGGTTTGTTTGCCAATAAACTTGAAATACTGATGATTGCTAGTGGTAGGCCTCCGCATTTTTTCAATATTTCATTTGAAACTTGTTTTAGCCCTTCCGGGCAACTGTCCTCAGATCCAAATGTTCTCTTGAAAAACAATTTTCTGGAGTGAACATCACTTAGAGCTTCCATTTCATACATGCGGTCATTACCACCGAGACAACATGACCTTGCTACATCAACGATGCGTGTAGTTGCTATAATTCTGCTAGAAAATTTATTCTCCGGGAAAGCACATTTAATAGTGTCCCATGCCGCTGTAGACCATATATCATCAATAACGATGAGGTACCTGATAGAAATAAATAAATATTGTTAACCAATTATTGAATGGAGTTAGTCGCAAAAAAAATTATGGAGTGGAGTTTAAGTAGAAATAAAATACAGGCATACCATGAGGCTCCAACACCATGCTAAATAATTCAAGTGTCATACATGAAAAAAATAGAAATCGAAGAACATGATGATAAATGAAATTCAATAGAAGAACAATAAACAGACCACGACAATAACAACATAAACATATCAATTATGTGAAGCGTTTTTACGCGGTGTGTTCGCCGTGTAAGCACGGCGTTTCTTGTCGTGTGATAACTAATAACTATGCTTGAAGCCTAGCTAGATGCTTGCATAGATTATTAAAAATGAGAGAACAAAAAAAAAATTAGTTCACAAACTGATTATGTAGCCATTCTCACATGAAAATATTATGCAACTTGTCATTATAATTTTTTTTCTATGAATACATACATGTCATTACATTTACCATATACTCGGTATACACGCTGCATGGGATCTTGCCGATTGTTCGCCGTGAACTGTTAAGGCAAACATTGCCAAAGTTGGGATGTCTTAAAAGTTAAGATGCAAACTTATTTTTGAAAAATTCATATGAAATTGATAGCTATGAATCTTACAAAAATGAGTTTGCACGTCAACTTCTGCGACATTCCCTTCTATCTCTATGAATATACCAAAATTAAAGGAAAATACAAAAAAATCTAAAATGGCAAAACCAGTTTTGTTAGGTTAATGATGTTTAGATTATAGATGAAAAAAAATAAAACTGCATGTTATGTTACATGTGTGTGGCCGAAGAACACAAAATCTATACATGATGTTTTATTTATTTAAAATGTTTTATATATATCCAAAAATCATGAACATTTTACAGTAAATCACATCTACCACTAGTTATTTGTGGTAATTGAATACACGAGCTAATATGACAGTGCTGAAAATACAGCTATGTTTTGTCTTGTTTAATACGTTAAAAAAGGTAAAGTTGTTAAGACTGAAAATTTTGATTTCTCTACAATTTATGACTAGTACACTATTTAGGTAAAATAAAACATAACTATTGTATTAGGAAATATTATAAATAAGTTAGTCTATTACACAAAATATTTCCGGTTAGACAACTATTATATGTTTCTCATATTTACAAGATCTGTGGTATATTTTTGTCCATTACGAAAAAGTAATAAAAATAATAAATCCTCCTTTTCTAGAAACAAGGGTCTGAAATTACCTCTTATCTTGTAACAGTTCTCTAAGCTTCCCAATGAATTTCTTTTCATCCCAAATGTCGATATCTTCTAAAAAATCTTTCTTGCAAGGCACTTGAGAGATCACATCCTTCATAATTTTCTTTACATTCGGCTGCTGTGAGACAGAGACAAAAGCATGACAATCAAAATACCCCTGGATCTTGTGACAGACTTCCTTTGCCAATGTCGTCTTTCCCAACCCACCGAACCCAACAATAGATAGCACCCTGCTATGCTTGGCCGAACTATTTTCTTCTTCCATCATCCAAGTGACGAGATGGTCTCTTGGACCATCAATGCCCACAAGATGTGTCTCCTCTACAAAAAGAGCAGACAATCGGGGATCCACGGCTGAATGCTCACAGGTGCTACGAGCAGTATCGGTGATACGAGCAGTATCGTCCAGCTTGTAACTATTCTTGAGCTCTTTCACCTCCTTGACACGTACCTTCAGGTCGCCGATTTGGCTGGCGATTCCACGGCGAGACCCGAGCGTCTTGAGACCACGAATAGTCTTGCTGAAGAACTCCTTGAAGCCACTCTGACTTTGGTGGCCGCCATCACCGAGCTGGTGGATGAACTTGTCGATGACATCCTCGGTGTCATAGACAAGCTCCCTCACCAGCGATATCCATGCTTTCGCCTGGACATCGGGATCTTGCAACATGGAGTACTTCTGAACCGCCGCTTGCATGCTGGTCAGCTCAGATTTGAGCGAGCGAATCTCACGGCGGACGCCTTTGAGACGGCCACACTCATCGGCGAGCAGAGCCGTGAGCTTCCCCAGCAGGGGACTCAACGAGCCATGGGAAGCGCTCACCACCTCCATCGACCTCTCTATGCTTTCTCTCTGCAACCCATGTATGGTAATGGTGTCGCACTGTCGCTTGGAGTAGAGTAGAGCAGAGTAGAGAGAAGTCCAAGATTCTTTCTCTGTCTCGTTTGCGTTTTGCAGGCTTGATGAAGGGTAGAGAAGGTGACTAGTTGCCATGTTCGGGTACCGGCACTTTGTAATAAAGAACTAACGGGTATCGCTCACGATCTGACTTCTTTTTTGAACCGCTCACGATCTGACGTTTGTTTAAAAAAAATTACCAGCTTTCATTTCAAATTGATCGGTGAAGTACTGAAGTGGGACTGTGACCAAAGATGCTCGAATCGAAGAGGGTCTATGCGATTGGTTGGCTGGCCTTGCGGCTTGCGCGTGTTTGACTTATGCGCGTTTGTCTTGTCGCGACGCGAGGGAGGGAGGAGGGGCTTGGGTTGGCTGCCTGGAGCAGTTGAGCCTTGGGGCGGGCCGGGGCGGGTGACGATCCCTCCGTTCTCTCGGGAACGGTGGGCTGGGGAGGATTTTTATAGAGAAGGAGGAGGTGGGGGTGGGCGCGAGAGGATTCAGGCGAGATATTGGGGTGTGGGTAATTTGGATAAGGGAATAACTGGTACCGAGCTCATCTTCTTTTCACCTCTCTCCTCATTCTTGGCTCGGCTCCGTTAGCCACGGCTCGGCTGAGCTGGCTTTACTTTTTTATTTCTCACTTTAAAGATTTCACGGAATACTAGCGCTGGTTTGCTTCGCAGATCGACTCCATTCAGGGATGGTTTGCAGCGTGTCACTTGTTACATGGGGAATGGGATGATGTTATTTTCCCATGGTTCATTCAAATAAGTTATTATGAAAGTAGATTCAATGATCTATCTAATGATATTAATTATCATATAAATATTAGTATTTTTGTGGATATATTTAGTAGTTAGGTATATTTGATTTCTCAAAAAGCACGAATGACAGTTAAAAAAGGATGGAGGGAGTATGCTTGATTGTCTTTACAAACACAGCTGCAGCAATGGATATACATGTGTACTGTTAAACCATGTTCTCGATGCCATGGACACCTCATGAATCGCATGGCTATTTGATTCTCCAAAGTTAAGATTTTACATTGAACTAGGTAGTGCGCCCGTGCGTTGCTACGGGACAGTAAAACTTTTGTACTAAAAACACAAGGATCGCACGATAAAATAACAATACTATGAAAATGTTAAAGTGACATTTAATCAAAAAGCAAATTTTGTGAAATTAACATCGTCACGGAGTGCGCGGCGTCGTAGGCTCACCGACTCAGTAAGGGCCGAGCGACAACCTTGCCCATGCCTATAACAATCCAAAACTTAATGCATTAACCATGAATTTACGAGTATTCAAGTATGTTTTAGAGAAAGAAGAATCAATGTGGTAAAGATAGAAAGGATAAATAGATCAACAGTAACTATCGTAATTGTCATGAACTCTTTAAGGTTTTTCCTAAGCGACTAGTTCTCGCTTTACTATACAATGTCAAATGATTTGTGCATCCACCGATAGCAATCTGGACACTAATAGACTTCGATCACATTAGAGAAGTTGCCGATGCTGCACCTTAATCTTTGTCCAAGAAAATACAAAAAATATGCCCTATAGCAATCGTCACCTATGTGGCCGTGTACGATGAGTCACCGATGGTACTTCTCCTTATCCTTGGTCGCTTCTTGGAGGCTGCAACTTCACGTCACCATTGAAATTGTAACATTCAACATTCAAGAAGAGAAGCACTCTTGCAACATTTAAGCGGGTGTCGACATGTCAAAAAAATCATTGAATCACAAGGAATCTGATAGAGAGCAGGGAAGCTTGCACAAGTCGACGAGAAGAGAAGCACCGGGCGTGATGGGTCATTATGTGGGCTGAGCATGCCGTAGAGCTATAGTTGCTTTGCTTGCCCTGATCGAGCCACGAAGGGGAGCCGCCCCTATGATGCTGATGGAGAGGGAAGGTTGAAGTAGCTAGATCGAGGGCCGCACCACCGGCAGGGACTGCCGAGCACGCGGGTTTGGCCAGTTGCCGCCGGGGCCGCGGAGCTCGATGGCCTAGCCGCACCTTGTCGAGCTAGGGAGGAGGAAAGGCGTATTTTGTCGATCCGCTTTCGCTCCTCATCCCGCTCGATCTGCCGCCTCATCTCGCTCGAGGCTCCTCCCGCCGCCGACCAGATCTGAGGGGGCACCGTCACGCCGCCGTGCCGGGCCGCAGAGGTGGCCATGCCATCGCCCCTACACCTTGCCGCGCCTGTCCTGGGAGTCGCCGCAGGTGCTGGTGGCGCGGTGGGACAGGCCAGACCTAATGGCAGAACGTAGAACCCCCGTGTTCGATCTTGAACCTTCCCGACCAAAGAAAACATAAACGAAGTTCGGGTCAAAGTCACATGCAAGCATCACATTTTGAGAAAGAGTTCCTTTTCTATTCCGATACGGTCTTTGCTTTACTTGCACCGATTGTGGACTGGAACATGAGTCCCATCTATCGCTCCCTAAGCGCTTCGCAAGGGAGAGAAGAGGTGCTATTTGTAATTAGTATATATGTAAGAAAAAGGTAAGAATTTTAAAATAGTACATATATTTGTTATATGTACCGAAAGTAAGGTGCAAAATGTGGATTGGTCGATATTTTCCAATGGGTCTCGGAGATGATGGGGCTCCACAAAATCAAAAGCCAATGAAGAGATTGCATCAAAGGTCATTTGCGCGCGATATGTCTATGTATTGTCTCTCCACCATCTTTGAAACCTATCACATAATGCAAGAAAAACTTGCATTTCAAGCATAAGCATGTACATGAACATTGCTAGTTGTTCTTCTACAAGAACCCCTCTTGTACTCTTTAAAAGCCCTCTTGAACTAAGGTAATCTGCAAGTGCTTTGAAAATCCATGGCTCCATACGCAAATTATGATAAGAACGATGTGGATGGCCCTCAAAAAGTTCATGTGTATATTCTGAACCACTAAGCTTTGAAGTGTAACATGGAGTTCTTGTTCTAGTTCTGATAGAAGCTAAATATAGCGCCGGAAAAACAAGCATCATCTTTTCATCTTCATCTTCTTCTTCCTCATATACAATATCAACCCTTTTATTATAATCCATATCCACCGACCGGACATATCTATCCCGAATTACCTAACGAACCAAAGCCATGAGAATTGAGAAAAGGAACATTGCAAAGCAAAGCATGACCAAACAGCCTATATGTAGCACACACCGCACACTTCCTCCGGGTTATACACGTGAATGCAAAAACAACAAGAATGCAGTCAGTGCAGTGTTATCCTAGGCTAGTGCGGGACTCTACACAAAATGCATAAGTACTCCCTCCGCTTCCGCTTTCAAATATAATGATGTTTATAACAAGCTAATTACTTCATAATATATATCTGAAAAATGAAAATGGAGGCGGGGAGAGGGACAAAGTGAGCTACTTCATAATATATGTATCTTAGATATGTCGTGTGCACTTGCACTCTAGATCGCTTTCTTTCCTTCCACCTCTTCTAATCACATATATGTATATGCAAATCATGCACGCACACTACAGATGGCTTGCACACACGTTGCTTTAATTTGTTCTTCTCATGAGAAGTCGCTTGCTTCGTCAGACTAAAATACTCAAAGATCCATGTGGATACCTACCAAGTCGACAATGTTTGATCGGAGTTCACATGTTCTTAATGCAAAGACTACAAATCTAACGTCTGGCAAGCAATGCCATGGGAGCAACTTCAGCATACATATCATCTATCAAACATATCTAAGATACATGTCTAATGCATAATCAAGAAAAATCGATTGGTCCCAATTATTCAACCGTGCATTGGGGAAACATACAGAGCTGCCATGGAAACATATAGAGCTGAATTATTCAACTTCAATTTGGTTTCAATTTCAACCGTGCCATTTCACTCCTCATTCAGATAGGTTTCACACATAATTAGCAAGTGCAGTAAAGAAGCATGTGCAACACATCCAGATTAGCTCCTCATTCAGATAGGTTTCACACATCCAAAGATCCAACGCAAGAAGAAGAGATGGGGATTAGGAGAGGAAGGTACTGCAGCAGCGGCCGTCCCTAGCCCCCATCGCGATGCAGCCTAGGGGCTGCAGTGCCACAAGATCTCTCGCAGCAGCCGAGGCCGAGCTCATAAAAAGCTTCACTGGAGATGGGAGGCCGCCGTGAGAGGAGCGCCACCGGCGAGGAGGAGCGCCGCCGCCGCCGAGAGAAGGAGCGCCACCGCCGCCGTGAGGGAGGAGCGTCGCCGTGGCGGGGAGGGACGAGCGTCGTCAGCCGTCGGGGGGAGGGAGCGCCGTCGAGCGTCGGGTCACGAGAGAGACGATGGGGGATTTTTTTTTTATTTAGCCTCGGTATCGCGAGGGGTTGGGGTGGGCGCACAGACGAACCAAAACAAATATCGCAGGGTCGATGCATGATTATTGTTTCCTTCCACGCATGTGGGCTCAGGTGATCGATTTATTTCCTTTAAAGCAGGTGGGGATCCTTTGAAGAACATCAACGTATCTCCCTTCGAGCAAAGATGATTTCGATGCATGATTATTGTTTCCTTCCATGCATGTGGCCTCAAGTGATCGATTTGTTTCCTTCAAAGCGCGTATCGCGGGCGTTAAGGCACATTTGACGAACCAAAACAAATGCCGCATAAAAAAAATATCCACGTTTTGTTCTTTTTAGTTGTAGAAGACTATGGTCCATTTCGATAGGTCCATCTTTGAGATCTACGCTAGATCTATAATCTAAGGTGTGACTAAATTAAAGTAGTTTAAACATTTATATTTTTAATTTAAACTATGATTAAAGTGAGTGGTGTATAGGCACTCAACGAGCCTCTACTTCTAGAATCAAGAATTTTTTCTGAGCTACAAATATCTACCTTGAAGAAATCTATAGATTACCTAGAGTCGTAGCTCATGATCTCTATAAACTAAACACAATTAGAAAGCAGTGATAGTA